AAATAATTATATTTATAATACAAGTAAATTATATCTAGAAATCTAAAACGTAAGAACCTTTTATCTTGACACTAGACCCACGAGAACAATGATGATGCAAGACTCAACACGTGATTCTGCAGACCTTGAGGCTCAGGTATGCACACCTTAAGCAACAGGTCTTCAAACTCACTTGCCAGGGCTTCGCAGCCCTTGCACCAGATGTTTGCAGTCTAGGATTGTGGCCAAGCATGTGTGAGGATTTGGCTCTAATGCCTAGGGCGTGGCAACCCGGTGCTAGGTGTCTGTAACCCCACCCAAACCCGAATTGATTATTTTTTTTCTGAATGAAAAAGGCAACCCCACCCTTGTTTAGTTTTTGTAACTCTTTGTGACAATAACATCTTTATAATTACACCACTTTAATCTTTTAATAAAAAGCAAACTTAAACAGTACCATTTACAATAAAATTACTATCAATCTATAATACTTCTAAATAATAAAAGCACTTACAGTCTACAGTAATTAAAATTTAATAATAATAATAATAATAATTCACTCACAATCCACAGTAATTAAAATTAATAATAATAATAATAATAATTTTTAATTTTATACTGCAAATAAAATCTATTTTTACTTTTTAATATTTATAATATTTTCTACAAATTTATTAATTATTATTTAAATGATATTAATTATAATATTTATAATAAAAATTATAATATTTATATCATGCCCCACCAAACAAATTTGTTATTTTTTATTGCAAGGTCTGTAACCAGATTTGCAGCCTTACCATGCTCCACTAAACAGTGAAATCAACTCACAGTCTATAATAATTCATTTCATAATAATCTATAATAATTCACTTTATAATATTAAACAGTACACTCCATAGGATAGTAATTCAATTTATAATAAAACACTGATATCTGTTAGGTATAGTTAATTTATTTGGTGGGCTATGTGTTTGGGTATGTGGTGTTGATTTTTGCTTGAAAATATTTTTTTTTTCAACACATAAAATTATTAAAAAAATAATAATTCAATAATTTTTAAAATAAAATGAATTTTAAAATGCAAATTATATTTTTCTTTTTCCTTCTCTTTATTATAGAAAAAGAGAGCAAGTTGACCCCAAAAAAGAAAAAAGAAATTGACTAACTAGGATAAACGATTATCCACCAAAAAATCCCATTTCTAAAAGAAAAAAGCGAGAAAAATACAAGTGGGAATCACAGAGTTGAGCAGCAGGGGGGCATTGGATTCAGCAGCCACTTCGTTGCATTTTATATGCAAATCTGTTGTGTCAAGTTGTCTGGTGATTGATGTACAGAGATCAGAAGCATTAATGGTCAAACAATTCATCCCTTTATACCAAATCGCAAGATAGGTACCTTCAAAAAAAATTCATAAAGAAAATCAACTGGAACCCAACTACAGCAAGGAGATGATGAAGATCAGCTCACCAAAACCGACAGTAATGCTTTCACTAGTTCCAAGTCTGGTAAATATATCACTGCATTCATGGTGAAGGCAGTATAATCAACGTCTCATGTGGCCATGAGTGAAACACAATAAACATCTTTCTTTACTAAAATACACTCTTGCATCAGAGTTCCAAGAGAAGGGGTGTAAAGTTCTGTTCTTTTTTACCGGTGGATGAACAAACAATGAGCTGTAAGCATTCTGTATTGCGTGCCTTTCTTACTCTACAGGCTTGGATAGCAGAAACTTCTCAGGCTATCCCTCTGGATCTCCTTTCCTTGCTCCAAGATGGTTGAATTTCAGTTGATTATGAACACTTCCGGCAGTGGTAAAAAGATGCCTGATGGAATAATTGAAAGAACGGATCAAAAGAAATATCTGGTACATCTATTTTATGTCAGCATGCCATGTTATCATGCCACAGCGTCAGCCTGTCGTCTATTCAATCGTGCATATAACCCATCCTGATGGAGAAGTTCCCTGTGACTGCCCATCTGCATGATGAAAAAGAAATAATAATAATGGGGGCACTTGCACCTTTTTACTAAATTTCGTACTAAATAAACTTGGTAGAATTGTAAGTAACGGTAAATGGAACCAGATAAATGTCCTGAAAATTAAAATTGCCCGAGTTTGAAAGGAAGTATCTAGAAACCTATAGGCTTTTTCCATCATCTACTTATTAATCCTAATCTCGAATCTCTATTGTAAACTATGAACATTTTAACTCAAAATCTAGAAGAAACAAGGGATGCAGTTTCTCTCCACTTTGCAATCAGTAACAAATATGCCTGAATATTATTGGTCATAAGTTATTGTTGTGTCAACAATGTCCTCCTGTGGAACAAGGGGCTAGTGGCCATCCAACGCCAACTTTTTTCTCAGAAAAAAGAACAACAAAAAAACTGCAGTGGCATTGAGAAATTATGGGATAAATGCCTTCAAAGCCCTTACCTGAGGGACAGGTTCGATACATTTTTTTTATTTGTGAGCAAGTAATAACTATGGTAGTGCACAAAAACAGGAAAAAAACATATAGTTAAAGAGGTTCGAAAAGAAAATTCCAACTTTCAAAATAATGATAGAGTTAATATTTAGGAATTCAGATGGAATTAACAGAGCACTGACCTCAACAACTTGACCACCATCCATTACCACTATCCGGTCAGCAGCTTGTATGGTGGAGAGCCTGGGGAAAGAATACAAGCAAACTTCAACTCTCAATTAAGACACTTGAAAGTAGGTGGGTGCAGCAGACCAAGACCTACCTGTGTGCAATAACAATTACAGTTCTCTTTGCCATTGATTCACTTCTAACAGCACGAAGTACACCCTACAAGCAGATGGCAAATTGAAGTCATCAAGTTATTGACCTCACATATTCCACTCTTTTCTCTCTCAACCTTTTCTTTTCCTTTTCTTTTGGTTTATTTGTCATGTGTTATTCCAAAAGATGATACCTTAACATTGTGCTCGCTCTCTGCATCCAGTGCACTAGTGGCTTCATCAAGGATCAAAATGGCTGGGTCCCGAAGAATAGCACGAGCAATGGCAATTCGCTGCTTCTGACCCCCACTAAGCAGATCATCATCAACAAGTGTTTCGTAACCATTGGGAAGAGACGAAATGAACTCATGAGCATATGCTTGCTTTGCAGCCCACTCAACATCCCCCTGTGTTATATCCCGTGTACATCCATATCTAATGTTTGAACTGATATCCATGTGGAATAGTTTTGGTTCCTGTTTACAAATATTCATAGTAAGGAGGAAATTCTTTGAGTGTACTGGAATTCATTAATTCTGGAGGTAAAGAAGCACCTGCCCAACATATCCAATCCGCTCCCTTAACCACTTGATATCCAACTCTCCAAGAGAGAAGCCATCAATTAAAATCTACAAGAAAAGTAACAACTACATAAGAGATTCATATTTGTTCATCTACCGCACTAATCAATAGATCATTGAAATGCAAGAGTATCATCTGCCAACAGCTCCCATTACAATCTTCAAGAGGCAAGCATCCATCAAAATTGTTTAATGTGTAACTCTTGAATGAACCCAAACTAAATTTAAATAAAGGGGGGGAATAACTTCATGGACAAGTTTCCCTTTTCAAATACAAGAAAAGAAAAGAAAAGGACAAAGGAAGCAGGTGCAGCCTTGAATAGAAACACAAGAGACATGAACATCATCTGAACCTCTGATTCTGGTGCAAGATGGGTTCGTCAGGTATTTGAGAGGTGAATTCTCTTGCTTATCCTTCTTTGATCTCAGAATACTAAAAAAATCATTCTAGGCCTCTATTATTACAGAAAATATCACCGAGCATGATGTGGAGGATAGTGTTTTTGTAAGTCAAAGTTGAGAGCCATGCACTAGTAGTACCAATCACTAATGGTAACTGAATAATCCCTATGGAAAAATCAGTTTCGAAGTGTTATCCATGCAAACTGGAGGTTTTTTACGTACCAATTTAGAATATACCTCTACTTACTTCCACAAAACAGTGTTCAAGGTCAAGTTTTTCCAGTCCTCTAAACTGATATAGTACAAGCAGAAAAACTATCTCCAAATTATTTGCAATTTTATTATTTTTTATTTTGTCCTTATTTAGGAAGTTTTCTATTTGCAATAAAAAATGGAATTGATCCTCATATTTCTCAAAACAAAGGAAAGGACACAAAAGATGAAACACAAAATTATGGATCAATTAAGCACTCTCGTAGACTTGCTTAAGTAGACTTGCTTAAGAATTAGAAAGACTTGAAAATAACATGATGCTATTTATAGGGATCTATATATTTCATTCCAAAAAAAACAGGGAGAAAGTTAGAAAAAATTGCATTTAAGTAGGATTTTATTGCTACTGGGAATTTATTTGTTTGGAGTTTATCCCTCTTGGATAGGACTCTTTAGGGCTTTGGTGTAACAATATGAGCACAAATTTTCTATACCTACAACATCTATTTTCATGATCAATTGAAACAGGTCGATGGGGTAGGGTTGGGGGTGGGGGTGGTGTTAAAGGGGTGGGTTTTTTCTTTCTTATCCCTCTACATCAGGAAGTAGAGAAGGAACCTTGATGACTTTTTAGCTTTTCCTTTTACAGTCTTATACTTGATTTTGAAAAAGGTGCTGCTAATAATTAATCCTCTATTCAGCAACTGAGATTTAAACACCTTCAAAGGAACACATAGCACAGAATATAAGATTTCACCTTGATTTCCACATTTTCTTCTACGTTGATTATTCAATTCTAAAGTGCCAAATCCTTCCATATCAGACAATAAATAAAAGTTGTTGGAGTCCTGTCACATGTCAAAACTTTTACCTGACCATTTGTTGGCTCATAAAGGCGAAGCAGCAGATTCACTATGGTGCTTTTCCCACTACCACTAAGACCAACCTAAGAGAAATTAGATGAGCAAATTATTAGCAATGATCGTCATTGAAACAGGATTGGAATCAAAGAAACAACATTCTTACAATTGCAAGCACTTCACCGGGATGCACTGAAATGTTTACGTGTCGCAGTACAGGAACCTGTTCAGATGCTGAAATGATTATTTTGTTTCAAAGCAGCATGATGATAAACTTCAGAAAATTAGAACCCCCCATAAAAAACTAAATATGACATCTAAAAATCTCTCCACGTTGTTTCCTTTCACATTCACCCATAGCCATACAGTTCCTCAAAGTACTCTCTTTTCTGGAGCATTCACTGCAATATAGGGTATGGAACTACTATGCAGTTACAGT